TTATCTAAGTTTGATTAATACTACATTTATCTAAAATTTTACATTTAGTAGTTACAACTATTTTTGATTAAGCGATATATCCAATAAAGAAGTATATTTTATTAATTTTTAATATTTTTTGTATAATACAGTGTACTGAAATGGTAAAAGGTACTAGTTTATGGAACCAACGTATACATTTGAAAAATCCTACTTTATTGTGACATTTCAGTATATTTCAAAAGTCGAATTAACTAGCCCGTCTTCAGCGTGTGTGTCGGTGGTTGCGTTTCGTACTTTTATAAGAAAACATTATTCTTCATTGGAATTTTGCGTATTCTTAAAATCTAGCACTATAATTCATTTAAAAAGGTGTCATACACCGTGATAATTGTCAAACGAGTTAGCTGTTAAATAAATTTCAAGCAGGTAATGTATTGCTGACTCTAACCTAATAAGACACACGCTGCCTTTCTTCATCTAACTTTCAAAAAACATCAGCGAACTGTGTTTATTGGTATTTGACATTTTTATAATTGTATATGTTATTTTTGATAATCAATTCTTTTACTTAACTTTCATACGTTTTATTCCAAAACATTGATCTTTGTTTATTGTACACTAAATTTTAAGGTTAAGTTATCAGTCGTTAGTTGTAATGAATAATTATTTAATAATGTTGAGATATCGAATTAATTATCATTATTGTATTGTTGTAATTATCAATTATTTAATAAAGGATAATATACTGTGTTTATCTCTTTCAAATTAAAGAGCTATATAAAAATTTGTTAATTTTGTTGTGCAATATGCAATTACTTAGATCATAATATTTTATGTTCGTTTCAGTATATTTTTAAACTTATTTGTATGTAAAATGTTCATAACAAAAATAATTGATAATTGAAATAAAGTTAATAGGAAATGGAATACTTCATGCTTTGAATGCTATTAGAGTTTTACTTTTGTTTTATTATTTATGGTTAGCTTTGAATGTAAAGGGGAAAAAATGATGTATTTTCTACTGAATTTATAAATATTAAAATAATTAATCATAGATATATCAAGTATTCAATTAAAATATTGTTAAACAAGAAAATGAAAAATGTTGTTATATGATAAAAATATTGAAATGCTGCTAATGTAATTATAAAGTTTAAAAGTTACAGAAAAAAATAAACAAATGATGTAAAAAAAATTAAAAGAACTATCATTCTTTTAGGTTGTGTTATTTTTTATTCAAAGTATAGATTTAATCAAATTTATATTTATAGGACAAGAAGAAAACTATGTCAAGTGCAGAATCATTAGCTATAGTAGCAGATGTAGTTCAAATTCTCAGACAATGGGAAGAGGAACATTCATCACCAACATACGATCCAGTTCCAATACTTCAAAGACTGGCAGAAATTATAGAATTAGAAACAGAAAATTATTTAAAAATGGATCCTGACCCATTTGATGAAAGACATCCATCACGCACAGATCCAGAGTGTAATTTTGGTACAGCTTATAAATGATTATTTGAGAGACACTTATTGGTCTCGTGCGGGTATCACGGGTCGTGATGTTAGAAAGTTGAATATTGCAGCCTGTCGTCTTATGCTTGATATTCTTCCTGGCTTAGAAACTTCTGCAGTATTTCAACCAGATATGGAAGGACTTATTCATCGACTTTTTTCTTGGGCAGAAAAAAGTGTGGAACCTCTGCAAAGTTATGCAACTGGGCTTGTAGCTGCTGCAATGGAGGTTCAGGAGATTGCTACAGGTTTTTTTAATTTTGTATAAAATTTTATATGTATTAACTTTTAGAATACAAAATGAAAGAAATAATTATTTACTACGCTTATAACAGGATTTAGAGAGCAAAATGGAAAAATGGTGCCTCTAATGTTACAAAGGCTTCATAAATTACAAGAAAAGGCACAGGAAGACAGACAACTTGCAGTTAATAATAGACCATTTGCACATTTTGGTCAGGATAGAAATAGTGGAGGAGATGGAGAAAATAAAGGTGTGCCTGGAAAAAGAAAAGTAAGAATAGTTTAACATATAATAGTATAATTACTTGAGTATTTAAATATTTATATCATTGCAATTAAAATTTGTTAGTAATTCAAAATTATTAATTAATAGTACTTCAGAATATTATTTTGTAATGATTAAATTTTATGAATGTTGTAATATTAATATTTTGTTTAAAGGTGAGAGAAAAACGAAAAGAAAATGGAATTCTTAAAAGCCCTAACCATAGTAACTATTTTTCTGAAGAAGATGATGATTGTGCTCAGTCCTCTGAAGATTCTGCTCCTTTACCTAAAAAAAAGAAAAATGATACAGAATGTGAAACTCCAGTAAAAAATGATACTATGTATCCAGAAATAATGTCTCCACCTTTGTCTGTACCAAAGAATTCCAATTCAAATAATCAACTAACATCATCTAAGGCACAAAGCACTCATAATAGATCATTGAATGCATCTTCAGCACAATGTAATTTGCAAAAAAATTCCATATCTTCAATGCAAAGTTCCACTACACCATCTACATTGTTAGAGGGTAATTCCAATTCTTCATGGGCAGAAATAGAATCATACGTTATTGGAAATGTACAAATACATCCTCCAACATTGGCTACAAGACAAATGCTAATATTGAGGTAAAGTTATTTTCATTTATTTTAAGATATTAACCTTATTTTTTTTACTTATTCTATATATTTGTAAAATGTGTTTCTTTATCACATAATAGGTATCTTACACCAATGGGTGAATATCAAGAATTCTTAGGTCATGTATTTGAACAAAATGCTTTGGAACTTATTCTCAAGTACATCAATGTTGGGGAAACCAAGGATAGTCGATTAGCTTTTGAAGCTTTGAAATATTTAGCTTCTCTTCTTTGTCATAAAAAATTTTCTATCGAATTTCTCAATGTTGGAGGTTTACAAAAATTGTTAGATGTTCCAAGACCCAGTGTTGCAGCTACTGGAGTTTCCATTTGTTTATACTACTTAGCATATTGTGAAGATGCAATGGAAAGAGTATGTCTACTGCCAAAACATGTTATTTCGGATCTTGTTACTTATGCATTATGGCTTCTAGAACGAAGTCACGATTCTGGAAGGTGTCATGCTACAATGTTTTTTGGATTTTCTTTTCCATTTAAAGTAATACTAGAAGAATTTGATGCACAGGATGGACTTCGAAAGCTTTTTAATGTGGTAAACGTTATTTTAAATCATTGTCGTTAATGTTTGCGTTATTCTCTGTTAACTTCCTAATTGTTGACTTATCCTTTTTAGATATCCACATTACCAATCTTAAACATAGAGGAAGATCCAGGACTAAATGATGATGAAGAATGTGCTTCTAGACAAATAGTTAGACATGTTGCAGTAGCTTTAAAACGATACATGGAAGCCCATTTACATCTTAAAGCAGAACAATTACAAAGAGCAGAAAATGTTAGAGCAGAACGTGACACATGGCAACCATCATTACCACCTTATAAAGCCTGTAAGTTAAGCAGTGAAGAAGTTCAAGCAAAGGTAATATAAATTTAAATATATCCTTTTTAAAGTAATTATCAATTCTAATTAATTACTTTGTATTATTTTCAACACTATAATTTCTAAAATGATATTGAAATTCATATGATGTAATATTTCGTAACAGAAAAACATAAATAACAGTATTATTTAATGCTTTAAATTATATAAATGATAATTTCACTTGTATTAATTATATTAATTTTTATTAAAGGTGGAAATTCTCCAAGAATTAATGTCTGTAAGGGCAGTGTGGCCACCAGTAGAAGAATTATATCGTCTTGGAGGCATAACACTTCTACTTCAGATTATTGCTCTTGCTAGGGATTGGAATTACAGTGGCAGAGTTCATACAACTTCCAGTGCAGAAACGGTTCGCTCTTGCTTAGATGTAATAGCTATTTGTTCTGTAGTGCCAAAAGTGATGTTGTTACTTTGTGAAAGAGTAGATATGCCAGATATGTCAATGACAATGGCAATTAACTTACTCTTAGCTGCAGCAGAATGCGAAATTATTGTAGATCCTGATGTACAGAGGGCTGCATTAAGAGCTGTAATTAATTGCGTATGTGCTCCAATAAATAGGGTAAATAACTATTTATCCTAAGTAATTATTAAAGTAATGCAAAATAAATTTTAAATTACTTTATTACCTTTACTTTTTTCTTCTTGATAATAGATTGGTGGCAATGTAGCAAGGTATTCAGTAACAGGCTCTGCTAAGAAAAAGGCAAATAATAATAGTGAAGAGTTAATACAAAAAATTTGGGGAAGTGTCAGATCCAATAATGGAATTATGGTACTTTACAGTTTCTATACATATTTTTTTACATTTATTGTTAGAAATATCTTGTCCAAGTATAAAATAATTGTTAACAATTTTAATAAATTTTAACATTACTAAATATTATTACAAATTCTTATGTTTATCCTATAGGTTTTATTACAATTGATGATGGTTAAAACTCCAATCACAGATGCAGATAGTATAAGAGCATTAGCCTGTCGTGCCTTAGCAGGTTTGGCACGCAGTGAAAAAGTCAGACAAATAATTAGCAAGCTTCCAATGTTCACTGATGGACAAATTCAGGCTCTCATGAAAGATCCAATACTTCAAGAAAAAAGACAAGAACATGTTACATTTCAAAAATATGCTTTGGAGTTAATGGAAAGAGTTTTTGGAAAAGCAAAACCTACTGGAGCAGAATACGAAATTTCTTTGGCTAGTTTACATAGAGTAAGTTTTATTTTTAATTTATCTAAATTATTTCTTGAAATTTTTAATTCAATTCAGTTAGTATATTAAACATATTCTTCATATTTTGTAATATATCTTCATTTTATTCTTCTTTCTGTTTTATATAATGCCAAATTTTTATTTCACAGGCAAATGTAGTAGCACAGACAAGAATACAATACAATGAACAACAATTGAATCAATTAATATATCAACATTTAATGTCAAAAGGTTTAACAGAAACTGCATCAACACTTCATAGGGAAGCAAATTTAGATTCTTCTGCAATAATGAAACCAATAGCTACATATCAGCCATTTACTTACCGTAATCCTGCAACTAGTGGAGTAAGTTATAATGATAAATATTGGATAGCTTCCGTTTATAAATTTATTAATCAGATATAAGAGGAGGTATGTATTTTAAACTTAAATATACACTGTTTTTTAAGACAAGAAATGGATTTTCTCCTGGTGCACCAGTAAATTTGTATAACACGAGCAGATGTAATCAAAGAGAAGTCACTTCCAGAAACAATACCACCCCAACTTCATCATCTAGGTACATATCTCACTCAAATCCAAGTTCAGGTTCATCATCATTACCATCTGGAAATAATATACGTATGAAACTTTCTGACTGCCTCAATCAAAACACTGTTTCAAATAGCACAAATCAACCAATTAAATTACAAATTAACCAAAAGTAAGTATAATTATTATGATAGTTCTCTTTTCATTTGAGTCTTTATATGATTTTCTTTTGAACTGTCAAAAATTACAAGTAGTTTGAGGAAAGCAATTGAATAATTTCAGAAAAAATCAGGCTGATAAGCAACCTCTAGTCAATCAAATGAATTATCAGTCAACTACACAACCAATGGTATGTAGATCATTACAAAAACAAATTTCGAGAGATCCTGGTGGTGGTGGAGGACCTGGAGTAGCCACATCAAATCCAGCCACTATAACATTGGATTCTATTATAACAGAATATTTAACTAATCAACATGCATTATGTAAAAATCCTATGGTTACTTGCCCACAATTTAATCTATTTGAGTAAGTATTCAAGTTAATTTATCTAGGAAATGTAAATACAATTTTTTTTAAAGAATTTAATATTATGTACTATTTGATGCTTACAATATTATACTTAATTACAGGCCACACAAGTGTCCAGATCCTTGTACAAAGAATTCAGTACCAACAAATGTAACAGTAAGACTGGCCAGAAGAGCATTAGGAATGGATGGTAGAAGATTGGATAGAAGGCTTATTTATAGCCGATTTTGTCCTGTAAAAACCTTCCGGCCTACCGACGTTGGAGCTTTCACTTGTTGTATCTTTTCGGTAATGTTTCTCTGTATTATCAACGTAGCACAGAAGTAAATTTAATATGCATAAAATCAACTTAGATAAAATATTGAGAAAAACTAAATGTTTGGTATATAATGTTTGGTTCGTAATACACAAAATGTGTTTACTAATATATTTTCATATTTTTGCAGCCTTGTCAACAATATTTAATGTTAGGTACTTATGCAGGAGATGTAAAAATGTATAATGTACACACTGGATTGGAGGAAGCAACATATCCATGTCATGAATCTTATGTTTATCACATGGAATGTAATCAACGTGGAAATCTGTTATTAACTTCTAATCCATGGAGAAGTCCGATGTCTGCACTTTGGAGTATAGGAACTTTCTTTGATTTAAAATTATCTTTAGAGAATGAAGATTACGTTGAATTTGGAAAACTTCAGGACAGAATTATTGCAACCCAAGGTGAAATTGCAACGGTATGTAACTTTTTTTTATGCATAATTACTTTTGGTAATACAAACATTTGTGATTCATATAAAGATAACAATATTCTACAATCTTTAGAATATGTAAATAATTGTTTAATTTTATAATTCTTTCCAGATTTATGATATAGCTACAGGACAATTACTAACTAGCCTTACTCCTTCAATTTCCAACCAATATACCAAAAATCGTGCTACTTTCAGTATGAATGATGAGTTAGTTTTAAATGACGGAATTCTGTGGGATGTTAATTCAGGGAAAGAAATTCATAAATTTGATAAATTAAATCAAACACTTAATGGAGTTTTTCACCCTAATGGTATTGACATATA